AATAGAGGCTAAGAGATTCTTTTCTTTCTGCCCATTTATTTTTAAAATGTAAGCATCAAAAGGGTACCAACCCTTAGTAGTGATGAGTGCTAAAGATATTTATCCTACTGCTCAAATTTTCTCAAAAGCAAAATTGTGTTACAATGAGCTCTCATATTACAATACTTCTAAACTCAAATGATGAAGTCTCTAATTATAAGAAGGAATATGTAGCATATATATGCAACAGTGATATTACAACATTGCAAGCTAATATCCACCTTGTAGAAGACCAGATCCAACTTTTTAAGATGCAAGAAGACGAATAGAAAGTATTCAAGGTCATGAGAATTATCATGTTCTGTACAGATGTGCTGTCCACCAGAACACACTCTTCTCTTGAATATATGTCGAGAAAAAAAAATCTGGGGCAATAGTGGTGAACATGGCCAAAGAAGGTGGAAACACAAGGTGGACATGTGCATTGAACAGGAAGAAATGAGGTATCGCCTCTTTTTGTCTTCAAGACAACTTGTTAGCTGCAGTTCTCAATATTTTACTTGTGCACATCCAGTCGACTAGAGCTAAAATCAGGCTTCTACAACCATTGATATCTTTCTTTACACTCTTCTTGTGGATATGCTTCTCATCAATGGAGATTGCACCTACCCACATGCCCCCTAATACCTCTAAGCAAAGTGATAAACCATCCCAGGTACTGGTTCTTTGTAAATATTACCTCGGTCAGGAAAGCCAGTAGCTTGAAACCTTTCATGAGATACCCTTCTCTTTTTCTAGAGCTCATATTTAAGGTTAGTGCTTTTTGTGGATGCATGTGTGGTGCCGTCCCTGAGGGATATGGCTGAAGCAAGGTTGAAGGGCCCCATTTATACATTTTTTTTTTTTCATAAATCAGCATTAACTGTAGTAGGTACAGCTTAAAAAGGCTCAACTATAAATAGACGAAGAAAACGCAGAACATTGAGGGGCATTATCAACCCTAGTAACCACAGACTGGATAATTACCCTGATCTGTTTCTCGAAACTAATAAAACCAACAGTACTACTAAGTTTTTCCGACCAATACTGCAATGATACCCACATTCTCAAGCCTTCATGTATCTGCTCACTTATACTTTACAACTCAAAGGAAATAGAAACAAAAGTATGTAATATGTTTACTACCTAATGACTAGTGACTACACAAGTAGGCTAAATCTGGTAACGGAAGACTAAGTGACAGAAAAAGCAAAGAATCTTCAAATACATGGATGTTGAAGGATGATAAGTTTAAAGGTAATGCAGATACCAATTTTCCCATGACCAACATCAACAGTACAGCCAGATATGCGTCCAACCGCATAAAGCGACAATACTGCCTGCTCAGAGGCATAAAACCCCGAGATGTTGAATGTTTCAAACATCAACTGCACCAATTGTTCCCTAACAGCCTGTTGACACAAAGGCAGCAATATATATATTAAATTACATTTCCATACCAATACACAGAAAAGACACTAACTTGATGTTGCAGTTAAAAACAAAAAAGCCAAATCTAGCATCCAGCACCAATGACTTACTATTTTCTCTATATTTCAAGACTTTTCTTTAACCCCATAAGACCAAGCCAATTACTAATCCTTGAGGATCCTGTTTATGCTTCATAACTAGATATGCCGAATTACAGAAAGCAATGCCACCAAGGACATATTCACTTAGTTGCTATTCCTTCTTCAATTTTAATATTGATGGTTTCTGGACCAGCTTGTGTGCATCTAGACTAATCCATATGTTGCGTCCACAAGCACATGTTTCCAAGGTTATACTAATCATGCCCACCAACCTGGAGGAAATGGGCTTACACTAAAGGTTGTAACTAGGATTTGAAAGTGAGTTTTCCAGGCTCTCTCAGTTATTATTCCTAAGCAAAGGAGTAAAGCTTTTCAAGCTGACATTACAGCTCATCCAATATGCAATTCTTCAAATCATTTTCTTGTCATGTGCATTACTAACTACAGTAGTTTGCATACTCAAAAACCATTCACTAATTTCTACGGAAATTTGGTACTATCCCCCCAAAAATAAATAAATTTCAGAAATTCTGATTTGTTTTTTAAAGAATATCAAAAACTCACCTTGGGAGTGCAGAGTGGGTCAGTGAACAAAATTTGACCTTCATTTCCGATTTCCCAACCAAGACCAGAATAAAGAACATGATGCAACAGGTCTTCCATTGCATCCCAATCTTTAACGAAACCTCTCTCAATGGGATCCACAGCCACTTCCTCTTCCTCAAACAAGGAACCTTCATCATCTTCAGGAATGCGTTTCATTTGAGTTGGAATTACCTAAACCATACATTCCCAAATTTACAAAAAGTATTAACTATACCATTACCATCTTAAATACCCAAAAAATACACAACGTTCCAATCTTGAAGCTTTTTCCTCATAAGGTTTTCTTGTTCTTCATTCCCAAAGTTACAAAAAGCATTAACTATATCATTATCATCTTAAAACCCAAAAAAAATTCACATAAAATTGGGGCAAAATAACAAGTAAATAGCAGAAAGTTTCAATCTTGAAGCTCTTTCCTTGTGGGGTTTTCTTGTACTTCATTCCCAAAGTTACAAAAAGCCTTAACTACTTCATCACCATCTTAAAACCCAAAAAAAAAAATCACAGAAATTGGAAAAACAAGTAAATACCAGAAAGTTCCAATCTTGAAGCTCTTTTCTTATGGGGTTTTTTTGTACTTCATTCCCAAAGTTACAAAAACCATTAACTACATCATTACCATCTTAAAAACCCAAAAAATCCACACAAAATTGGAGCAATTAACAAGTAAATAGCAGAAAGTTTCAACCTTGAAGCTCTTTCCTTATGGTTTATTCTTTTACTTCATTCTCAAAGTTACAGAAAGCATTAACTACATCATTACCATCTTAAAAATCCCAAAAATGCACACAAAATTGGAGCAATTAACAAGTAAATAGCAGAAAGTTTCAATCTTGAAGCTCTTTCCTTGTGGGGTTTTCTTGTACTTCATTCCCAAAGTTACAAAAACCATTAACTACATCATTACCATCTTAAAAACCCAAAAAATCTACACAAGTTTGGAGCAATTAACAAGTAAATAGCAGAAAGTTTCAATCTTGAAGCTCTTTCCTTGTGGTTTTTTCTTTTACTTCATTCCAAAAGTTTACCATCTTAAAAACCCAAAAAATCTACACAAGTTTGAAGCAATTAACAAGTAAACAACAGAAAGTTTCAATCTTGAAGCTCTTTCCTTATGGTGTTTTCTTGTACTTCATTCCCAAAGTTACAAAAAGCATTAACTACATCATTACCATCTTACACCCCCACCCCCCCACCACCACCACTACCACCACCAACACCACCCCACAAAAAAAAATACACAAATTGGGGCAAATATAACAAGTAAATAGCAGAAAGTTCCAATCTCGCAGCTCTTTTCTTATGGGGTATTCTTGTACTTTGTCTATACACAACCAAAATCAAGAAAAGAGTAACAGATACAGTATCACCATTACAAAAAATCCACAAATAACTAGCAAATAGCAGAAAGCGAAAAAGTTCCAATCTTGAAGCTAAATTCATATGGGTTTTCCTGTACTTCATTCTCAAAGTTACAAAAAACATTAACTACATCATTACCACCATAACACCCCACCCCCACAAAAAAAATACACAAATTGAGGCAAAATTAACAAGTAAATAGCAGAAAGTTCCAATCTTGCAGCTCTTTTCATATGGGGTTTTCTTATACTTTGCCTATACACAACCAAATTCAAGAAAAGAGTAACAGATACAGTATAACCATTACAAAGCTCCAAACTTTCACGCAAATTGAGGTAAAATAACTAGAAAACTCCAAATTTGAACCTTTTTTTTTGGATGGGGTTCCTATTTTACAGTTAAGAAAAGTAAAATAAAATAAAATACCATAGCAGGAGTTTGATCTGGAATAGCGAAACCAGCTTTGAGCAATTTAGAACCAGCATCCACTACTACTGCCTCCATTGTTGAAGGCTCTGAGAAATTGTTGTCTCCCTTTCTCTCTGAGTAAATCAAATTTCAAGAACTGATGGAAGTAAATTCAATTTGCTGCTATTCCCACCTCTTTTATTTTCTTCCCCTTTTCATCTTTTTTACTCTTCATTTTTATATTATATTTTCCAAGAGCTTTTGGTGAGAGATTTTTTATTTTTTTTTGTGTTTTGATATGATAGAAATATATTTTTGAAAATTTATTATTTATATAAAAAAGAATAAATGACCTAAAAGTTTAAACACACTCAAATTACAATTCTTTTGACTAGTTACCTATTTTAATTTTACGGAGATCATATGACTTTAAATTTTGCACGCTCTTGATAAAACACAAAAAAAAATAAAAAATTGTAGGCAGTCACTTATTGGTGTAAAAATTATTTTGTATTGGAATTTATTTGAATTCACGCGCCTAAGACCTATGCAAAGGGGAAGCGATTTTTCCTTATCCGCACTCATAAAAATGTGTTTGTATCCACCTTATAAGTGTCATATAACTTGTTTGGTCAATTTTCAAAGGTTAAAAATACTTATTTTTAAAAAGTGAGATATTTTACCAAACTTTAGAAGAAAATAAATGTTTTTAAAGAGTAGAAGAAACTATTTTTTAGGAGCTAAATAATTTACTAATAATAATGTATTTATTGATTTGATATGAATGTCAAATTCATATACTATAACTTAAAGTTGATTTAAAAAAGATAAAGTAAACATTTTTCATATTTCATATGTAATCACCCATGGGACAAATATAATCAAAGTCCCTCCACTCTAGGTCTCGAATTCAAATTTTAGGAACGTACAAATCTAATAGAAAGTGTTTTCCCCCTTAAAACGTCTTGTGTAGCGTAAATCAGGATCAGACAAATAGAATTTCGAATTTCAAATATCAGATGATTATACAACGAATCATATGTAAAATTTCCTCAACTTTTTCATGCTTGAGAAGTATCAGCTTATTTACAATAGTTCCAAAAAAACATGTAGCAACTAGCATATAATAAGTTGCCTCATTTCACTACCCAAAAAATAATTACAGAGTTTCCATTTACAATTATTTTGGCAGAAGCAAAACTGGATTGTTGCTTATTTACAAGCTGTACACAAAAAAAAAATTGTCTTCAGTTCTTCAAAACTGGATTGCCTCGAGAAGAATTCATCGATAACGCCACGTGTTTCTCTGGATAAAAAAGACGATACAATGATCGTTATAAGTTTGTTAAAGACTAAAGTATCACGAAACATATCAAGGGAGAGGGGTGTACCAACCTCCTGTCGCGATGAGTTTTTCAACACGAGATACAATGTGTTTTCCATAAGTGTATTTCTTGAGGGCAGTAAGGTGTATTCTAATACGCGAAAGAATTAGTTCACGACTTTGATCATCACATGTCTCAAGAACCTTCTGTACTACATAGTTACCAAATGGATCCTTCATCATAGCCTGCATTGGAAAATTAAAACGATCATGATTGAAGATTGTTAAGCTTTAACACGATAGATTTTGTATGACGATGAAAATGTTCAAGGAGAGAAAGAAAAAGAGATGCTTGTGTTATTGTGGAGATGGTGTGTATGCAGAAAAGGGGCATCATGTGTTAGCAGGGTCCGAGAAAGACCAGCACACAAACTATACGTAAAATTGGAACTTATGATCACTCTCTCGATTAAGCCTTTTACCTGTCTTTGAATTGAACATGTTGGTTACCTATAGTTAGAGCTTAGTTTCTATCTGAGAAGCCTATTCTGTGCAATTACCTTGAGTTTCGTGCTGAACTTTACTGATAGACGTGGAAGGGAAGAGACAGGGCGATGGAAAAAGAAGAGAAGGGACAGCATCACAGCAATTGTGAATAACAAGTTAAGCAAATATCTTCTCCAACCTTGTTATGTGTTCCGATTACTAAGCTAAGGATCGAAGTACTACATAGTCCACCAATTCTACTGTCATGACGACTAAGATTTCCATCATCAGAACAAATACGTTATATGACTTCTCCTGGAGGTCCTGATTAGCATCCTAGTGTTTGTAGTGATTCATATTGTTGCTAAGACGTTCTTTTTAAGACTACGTAACTATCAGGATTTTAAGTGTTTTATAGTTCACGAAGTGAATGTTCATCGCACCAAGTACTCTTTCACTAAAGCAAATGGCAGAAGCACAGATGTAGAACGTTCACTTAACACATGCAAGAATAAGAGATAACATGTACTTGTTTTTCCGCTTTTCAGCATTTTACCTTTCAAATGCAGAACCAAGCATTTCGTTCACCAGAATGGTGCAAAATCTGTGAAAATAAAGAATAGTAACAGACCTGTAGAGGCTCATTTTCTTGTGTTGAACCAAGCATTTCGTTCACCAGAATTTGACGCTCCTCTGAAGTTGCAAAAATCAAGCACTTCTCAACGACATTAGAAGCGTACTTGTGCTGACTCATCTTTACAATTTGTCCAGTAAGCTTGCCTATTATATCAGACCTCTCATGTGGTTTACCATGTTGGAGTACATGCTAGAGAAGTAAGAAGAAGATCGAAATAAGAACCAAGAACAGAAGTGCAGCAACTTATAATACAAAAAATCGAAGAATTCCACATCATCTACTGCAGATGTTTATCAACACTCGGAAATTCAAAAATGAAAGCCAGTACCTTAGTAAACAGCAGCTGCATAAACACCTATTCATCTTTTCAGCAGAAAAAACTAAATATTCAGCCAACTAAAGGATATTGCTGAAGATTTCAGGACACATACAATCAGGTAAAGTCGAGCATATCAGACGTTTTAGCAAAGGTGGATACAACTTATAGTCAGAAACCTCTTGTGCCAGTTGTAATCGACGTATTAATTTTTGCCTGAATTTTTATCAGTAGGTGTAGTAAAGAGCTTCGTTCCTGTAACTTAGTGGTCTACATTGCTAAGAGCGTAGTTGATTTAAGCCAGCATTCAAAAAGGCGGTTCCAGGGCAAATGAGAAGTGCCTCGAGACTGTCTTAAGTAATGATGTAAAGTAATGATGACATCAAGATGAAAATGTCGTAAGTCGATTACCTGAATGACATAGTTTCCATACTGATCCAGCACTAGAGTACCAGCAGCCTGCATTATTTCATCCATGATGGTCTTTTGTGTCTCCGGGTTATTGCAGTACTCAAGGACTCGCTGAAAATGAACAGATCCAAAGTGGTTGAGGGAACTCAACACATCAAAACAAAGAATCGGAAAAAAAAGAAGCATATCAGTACCTGAATGACACGGCAGCCATAAGGATGTGTTGATAGAGACACAACATGCCCGAAGAAGGAAGCTACAATAAAGTGAATTCGATCTTGAGGTACATACTCTATGCACTTCTGAATAACATGATTACCATTCTGATCACGAACACATTTCATCACATAGCCATCTAGTTCTGTAGACATTTGCTTCTGCAGTTCCACATCAAAGACTTCCAAAGCCTGTGATCATATAATATGTTTCATTCTGTAATCCAGAAAAAAGGGATAAAAGGATGAACTATTAAGCAAGGATATCGTACTCTATCTCTTCTTCTGACTTAACTGTTATAGCGGATAAAGTTCAATTACTTTGATATGACAAACAATAGTTTTTTGACTTTCTTAAACTCCATGTCAAGTCAAAACCATACAAATAAATTGAAACGGAAGGAGTATTTATTTGTCATCGATCTAGACAAACACATATGACTGCACAAGACATGACTGTGCTCTGAAACTAGATCGAGTTAGTACAGGATAAAGTATAAGGATCAACCTTCTGAATAACTCTGCAACCATACATTTGAAGACTCAGAGGCAAAACATGACCAAGAAGTTGCCTTGCTAGTTCCTTTCTTTGACTCTCCGTTCCATGCTCGAGGAACTGTTTACATTGATTAACAAATGACAATCAATACAAAATTCATCTAGGATAGTGTACAGTTTGAAAAGGAAAAAGAAGAAAAAAGAAAAAGATAACGATGGTTTAAACGACTATCAGTACCTTTTGTATGACATAATTCCCAAAGACATCTGTCATTAAACTGTGAGAATGAGGAAGAATTTCTGGGAATATCTTCATCTTTTCTTCGACACTGGCAGTTTCCAGCTTCTTTTGAATAAATCGACTCCCATACTGATCCTTACTAAGTAATAAAAAAAAGGAAGTAAAGGAAAAAAAGAGATGATAGAGCTAAAGTATATACGGAAAAAGCAGCTTAGATGCACCTGAACTCGACAACATGATTGAGAACGTCCAAAAGATCCAACGACCTGGGGTTGTTCTTGAGATCGTCCAGCAGGGACGGTAAAACACTTCCATCAGCAACGTTCTCCGAATGCCGTGAACTTTTAGATTCATCGGTAGAATTTCTCAAGGCAGGAGGAATCTGTGGGAGAGGATCACTCTGATACATAGGACTTCTAGATCCTACTGTCACATACAATGAGTTTGCTATTTTATTCTCTTGGCCTGAGCCAAGAGCATGAATCACATGATACCTATCCGTTAAACTGCAAGAATTACGTATTAAGGAAGGGCAATATTGTTGCTTCTGTTGCGGGAGTGATGCATCAGCATACATTGTTCCAAGAACTTTTAAGTCTGTATTGCCATGAGAAGTTGCATATTTCGGCTCACTCCTCAAATGGCGTCCATTCCCATTGACACCATTTAAATGAGAACCTAACACATTTTTCAAACAATGTGAGCACAAAAGACTTTAGGATTCAAAATTTAAATGCACACGATATCACGACTGATCAATAAACCTTACCAAGATTGTTATTCAACACCATCTTCGGATTATATTTGTATCCATCAGGTAAATATCCGGTAGAATTTACAACGTGATTGTTATTGACATAGTGTTGGACTCTAGAGTTTTGACTCACAAACTCAGGACTGAGGTAATCCGTATGTCCATCAAGGTAGAATGTGGAATTATGGTCAGCATAATCGGAAACAGTACCTAAATTTTCAGCTTCATAGTATTCATTTAGTTGATGTTGCACGCCCTGCCTATAACCATTTGATAGTCTATTTTGAAGCCAAGTCTGCTGCATATTATCGTCATGTTGAAGGCGAGATAATGAGGCAGTAAGATCAGATACATCAGCATTGAGGCCTTTTGAGCTAGTTATGTCAATTGAAATCTTGGGACTAGGTGATCTTGTAAATGAACGAGGCTCAGGTGTTCCACTCCTTCTTATCGGTGAATTGATAGCAGATGCAGAAGAATCAGGGTGATGTGGATTAGGATTCTGAATCTTTTCCAATCCAGAAAAGCCGGGAGGAGCATTTCCAGTGAGCAATGTCTTTGTGTGTTCTGTGCTTTCAGCGTGTGAAAGATCAGCAGACGAGAGTGCAGATTGGTCAAGTCCTTCCTGAAAAATAAAAGTATATCATCTTAATTCAAAAGTCTCAGAAGTATCATGAGAAGTAGAGGAGGAGAACGCGGTTGTCTTCATTGGAACTCATGGATTCAGGTACGTTTCTGCATTTTCTCGATGATTTGACATGATAGATTTTGAAAAGATGATAGCTTTCATATGAATATGTGTTGCTTTGCACCAAAAAAAGAAAAAACAACGTTTATCTGTCACGAACACACGTCAACTTAAGAAAGTGTTGGTACATTGATTACTTCGATGAACTAAATAGAAGCATTTCGATATAAAGTAAATATACCAGCACAAGACAAGAGAAATCACCTGAACTATGTCCGCGAAACTCTTTTTCCTCATACCAATTCCAGTGTTCGATTCCAATGTTCCTCGTGAAAGATTCCTTGCAGCAGTCTTCCTCAGCTTTATCAACTCGTCTTCCGCCCTCTGTATAGGGAAACCAGGCTGCATCGCGAACAATGATGAACCACCACCTTGTTCCATCAAATTCTTGCTCATAAAAGCACATCCACCTGCCTGAACCCTCTGAGCAATTCTCCAATCTTCTCGAGACATCAACGGTGGGGGCAATCTAGGATTAAGATTGACATTTGAGTAATAGTACGCTAAGTACGCAGGGTGTGATCGAATTTGCTCTTCTGTCAAAATGTCATTGCTGGAATTACCACCACCACCACCACCATTGCTGTTGTTACTACTATTAGATTGTGCTAAATTGGAATTCCTAAACAAACTTCCAACAGCACTCAACGATCCTTCGACAGTAGGAGGAGCACTACCACTCCTCGATAAATTCAAATCCCTCTCCCGTTCACCAACTAAATCACGATTATGTTGACGTTGCTGCTGCCTCACAAGTATCGACTCGAGCTCACTCTCCAAACTGTTCTTGCCCTTTAAATTCCCATTATAATTTGGTGCCAACATCTTATCAACATTACTCACATTCACACTGGACAGAACAACATTATCTTCCACACCCCCTTTAGTCATGTCAACTATATAAATCCCATTAAAACACAACAAATACTCACAAATTAGATATCCAAATCAATACCAATAAAGATTTAATACATCAAGAGCAAGATACTAGTACCAAATGAAAAGTAAACACCTTTACAAGACTAAAGTACAACAACAACGAACCTCGTGTAATTCTACACGCGGGATCTGGAGAGGGTAGAGAGTACACAAACCTCTGAGAAAGTAGAGAGTCTGTTTTCGATAGACATAAAAGTGCTTACTCATGCAGGTCTATCGCGCAGTTGATGATATCACTCTGGACTAGTTTCCACGTGCCAACAACATACCCAGTGTGTTGTGGTCTGGGGAGGGCAGAGTGTACATAGATCTTAGCCCTATCTTGCAGAGGTAGAGAGGTTTTTTCCGAAAGATCCCGTATCAAGAAAATCAATAAAAAAAAACATCTTATTTCTCCACCCCCTAATTGCTAAGGACAATTAACATACTATACAAACAGTGGCATAGCTAGAAATTCCAACAAGGGTAAACCGGTGCACTAGTGGGGTCCAGGGAAAAGCCGAACCACAAGAAATTCTAACAAGGGAATTCAAGATTTCACATCCTAGAATTTGAATCGCGGATTCAACAATTTATATATAGTATAATTTTCAAACGAACGAAATTCAATTGAATCCCTTACATACACATCAAATTCAAATTAAACACAAAAAATCACACAAAAATTGGATAACATATTTTAAGACATAACAAAACATGTACATTCACATAATATAAGATTTAGGCACGCAAATCGAGACAAATATTATATGAAAATTAAGACAAAATTACTTACATTGATGGAAAATCTTGATGTTTTTTCAAGCTTCCATACGACAATCTAGTAAAAGGGGTTGGGGTTAGAACATGAAAGATGAGGAAATTCTTAGATTAAGAATTAATCAAACGTTAATTTAGCAATTATTAAGGTTGTTCAATTCTTTTATGACTGTTAATTAATTACGTGTACTCCTATTGTTAGGGATGTGTTGTGGTTTTACGTGCATGAGGGATTTTTTTTTGGTTAATTAATAACTTGTGATAATAATGATTAGAAATTTGTACTAATTAATTAATTAATCTTGTTTAATTTAAGGATAAAGATGTGTATAGACACGTGCTGTAATTATAAGACTTAGGACCTAGTTAGGAGAAAATATTGGAACCTAAAAAAAAGTGAATCTTGAAAGTAGTAAAACACTAATAATATAATTTATTAAATTTGTTTACACTTTCAATGTAATTTTAACTTAGTCAATGTTGCTACCAACATGGACAACATCCTTCTAGAAACTTTCTATAATGAACTAATAATCGATCGAATGTAGGAAACTCTGAATTTCAATTGGCCTCGTCGGCCTTGGCCAATTCTTGATTACTTATATTTTGATATAGTTATACATAGATATTTTAATTTAAACTCAGATAACAATTAAACACTCCAATTTTGAGATGCACAATTTATCAAAATCATTATCATTGTCATTGTATTTGTTTGAAGAGATTAAGAGCATTATCAAACAATTTGTGTAGTGTAAACAAAATTTATAATGATATTCTTGTTACAAAGTTGAGCATCCAATAACTAATGCCATAAAAGAGAATTATTTGGACTATTACGTAAAACTTATAATCATTTGAAGCTCTATTTGTATAACACCTTTTGAATTAGAGTTCGAACTCGTTTTCTTTCTGCCTCTTTCGTATTCTCAATCAGAACAATCACAACTTAATCTTTTTCATTTATTAGGCACCAACTCTAAAAGAGACGCAACATCAAGAGGGTCCTGAATCAAATAAAGCAAGCAAGCCTGTATTCTGTTCGATTTACGACTTCATGATGTTAAGCTAAAAGAATTAGCTATTTTGTAGAAATCTTCCTTCACCATTGGCCAAATTGATTGTGGAGATTGTGCATTCAAAGTGAATAACTTTCCTCCCCTAGCACAACAAACAGCAACATTGTGTCTCTGAAATGTTGGGCTTTCAACTTGAAATTCTAATGTGTAGTATTTTTTATTAGAATCCTCTCTTAAATTTGCTTGAATTAGTGTCCCTTTAACATTAGGTCTTTTGCCTGATCCTGTAATAGTCTGCACTATAGCCTCACCTACTTCCTTTGGTCCTCCAAATGTCTCTATCCTGCCAAAAATCGCGTTGAGATCAAAACAACAAGACGTCATGTAGAAGCGTAACAAATGCAAATCTTTAACGATGATAAATCAGACAACAAACATAATTGACACAATATATAAATATCTCTTTTAATTTGACATTAACTGGCATTTATGTCCTTCAACTTTAGATGTGCATAAGTAGGCACTTAAACTTGTATAAAGTTGAACAAGTAGACACATGCGTCCTACGATGCATTAATACGCGTAGGACACATGTGTCTACTTGTTCAACTATATACAAGTTTAAGTATCTACTTGTGCACAACTAAAGTTTAAGGACATAAATATCAGATAAGACCAAGTTAAAGAGCCCGTTTATGTATTATGCCAAAATAATCTGACTAAAAGATGCATAATATTTTGATATGATTTGGTTACTTGACTCCCAATGATAATGTCACCTTTAGGGACTAACTAGCAACAACAAAAAGATTGAGGACATCTCACAAAACTTAGCTAATTTCCAATTCGTAACAGGTAGAAAATTCAGAACAAAATCCTAACAAAATGCAACATCAAACTTGTAAAAACTATATGAAATTATACATTTTAAGGTAAGACTAGGGATCGAAGCTTACGAGAAATCAATAGGAACTTGTGCAACAATGACACTAACATTGAGCTCCCCATTTGATCCCGGAGGACCAAATGCAACAACCGGTTCATTCACATTTCTCCGTCTCCGATCACCACTGCCACTCAACGATGGTGGATCTAGTGATCGTTCTACTTTCCCCGCGGTTCGATACAATATAGTTTGATCACCCACCCAATTCGATGGATACACAAACTCTGTAACAAAAAATAAACAGAAAATCCGTCACCAATTGTTTTAGTGGCAACTCATATTGTTGCCACAAAAAGTCCAATCTTTTGTGATGATATATAACGTTGTACTCAGTTAACTTACTGACCAAATCCTTCATTTGTATCAAGACATCGAGTATAACCTCTGATAGGATAGATTACATCGAGCTTAAGACTCCGAACACCATCGGGTGATAGGCCTAGTAAAGAACTAGTAATGCCAGCAAAATTGGCACCCAAGGCTACTATAGAAGCTGTGCCAATCCCTGTAAGTAAACGCCGTCTGAAAACTGATTCGAGTGGTGCAAATTGATTGGATTGGATTGTGTCCTTTTGGTTATCTGAGGGCGACTCCTGAGTCATGTATATTTGAATCCTTTTAGTGAAAGTTCTGACTCTGTTGTTATTGACATAATTCTGACTCCGCCATTGATGGGATGTAGTTGTTCCTGTACGAAAATAATGATGCATTGCCATTGTTTGAGTCTTTTTTAAGCTTCTTGATAGGCAGAGTGACTATGTAAAGTTGTGACTTGTGACAAAGGAAGAAAGAAGATGAAGTAAGGTTATCCAAATCCTGTGGTCCTTATTCTTTCTTGCAGCTCTTCTAACTTATTTTAATTCGCCATGAAATCTATATATCGATAACAATAAATTTTATTTATAATCAAACTACAAATGACATATTTCAATTGAGCACATAAACATATGATAAATTATTTGTAGAAGAACGTCCAACATTTTGAGAAAACTTACATGTATGTTCCATAAATAAGTTAACCACTTAAACATAAATTGTCTCCTTCAATGATACATATTAACCTCAATAAGCTTTAAAACATCATGCAAGTTCCATTTTTTGTTGAAGAATATATATAATCAAAGGAGGGAGACATATTTTATGTGATTAATTTATTTACATAATAAATAGTCATGAACATGTACATATTCTTTTAAAAAAATATGAGTTTCACCCTTTATCATGTGTTTAGATTTTCAATTGAAACATGTCATACTTTGAACGTCTAAATGAAATTTACATTCATCCAGATGACAAATACAGAAGAAATGTTGAAATGCTCAGCACGATTATAATTGTGATTTAAAGGCCAAAAACAGTAGTATTGTTCAACTACCTGTGAAGTACCCTACTATTTTCATATGTTGCTATGCCATTTAACAGAGGCATCACAATTGAAACTTTTACGCCACAACGTAGATAGAGTTTTATGTACAATTACAAGATCTTGTGCATAAAGCAAAAAGGATATCTTGAACAGCGAGAAGTATACACGATTAATTTTTGGTCTTCTTTTGTGAGCTCCCCTCTCCTGGTTCAAACTTGCGTTTTATGCCCAAAAAGTGTTCAACCTGAAAGACGATGCGATAAAAATTACAACCCTGAGAACTAGGTGATGATCAAATAGAGGCCAAAATGTGCAAGCACTAAAAAAACTTATCAGATAGAGCATTAAGCATAGCATGAGAAGCAATCCAGACTGCAAAAATATGTGTTCAGGTGGAGAGCTAGTGAGCACAAGTAAAACTTGCGTTGCTCGGACTCTTCAAAAATACGTGTGGCAGCAATTTTGGAGAGTCTGAGCAACAAAGAGTAAAACAGAATCATAGCCAGCTACATAAGTATCATCATCAGCAAAAGACACTGACCTTCTTATCACCAAGCATAGGGGTCAAACCTCCAGGCAAGTCCTTCTCAACAGTAGCAAAACCACTTCGAGGATCACTAGTTTGCCTGAAAATGACAGAACACTTCACAAATTACAGACCATAGAGAATGTTGGAGACATTAAAATACAAGCTTGCGACAGGAAAATATGAGAGATCTCAGACAAAATGTATCTCTAAGGCCAAATCAAAATTGATGGAACTTCAACAGGACAGAAGCATAAGAACCCTGCCCTAGGCAACTGACAAGTCAGCTGCATAGTTGATATTCCACGGGAAAAGATCTACTTTTTGAATTAAAGCACTTTAAAGAGAGTAAGGAAAAAACAAACCCTGGT